CGTGTGGACCATGTGGGTCGCGGGGGCCGTGAGGGGGTGGGGCTTCGGTGTACTCTGGGGCCTGTGGGTAGTGGTGTGCTTTGGAGATGCGGGGTCTCTGGGTGTCACGCCGAGCCTTCAACTGTGCTGGTATAAATATTTCTGTTTCAAGAGCTCCTTGCAGGTGGCCGTGCCTCCTGCTTTTGGCCCACCAGCGACTGATTATTCTTAAGGCAGGAAACGTGTCTCAGCAGGGATTCCCGCTGGGCAGAGAGGAGAGGGATGGCCGTGGGGCACAGACTCCGCGGAGCCATCAGGGCTGGACGGAGCTGGCGTTGCCTGTGCCCAGGCAGTGGGTGTTAGGCCTGCCCTGGCAGTTCCAGGGACAGTTGTATAGGCCTAGGAGTCGAGAGCCAAGGAGTGGCATTTCGTGTGGACCGCAGGGTGCTGGCATGTGTCTTGCCGGGGACACCGAACCTGGGAGGACTTTCCTCCATCTCTGTGGGATCACGAGGGCTGGGGGGGACTGTCCGTGGAATGAAAAAGTGGAATTTCTGAGTAACAGTGGGTTTATAGAATAAACAGCATCTTGATCAGATCAATGGAAAGATAATTGGCAAAAGGAGACAGTGTTGTTGAAGTACAGTAAGCATAGACAGAGGTGGGAGGGCTAAAACGCCGGTGATTCTACTGTGTGAAGGCGCTGAGTCCTCCTAGTAAAGGCAGAGAATGTTCATCTGGGGGTACAGGACCTGCCTCCTTAGAAGAGACGACAGTTATGTAGACATGAGAAAGGCCAGCTGCCAGGCAGGGACAGAGGCAGCGAGAGGCCACGTTACCACAAATATGAAGGTGACATGGCCCAGGATGACCAGGAGGGCACCTCTATGAGGAAGACACGGCTGTCAGCCCTCACGCTCCAAACAGCCTGGCAGCTGGATGGGGCCACCTGCTGGGATCCAGGCTGTGCTCATTAGTCCCAGGGGACCAGTGTGGAGGGAGACACATCCAGTGCACAATGTTGACAGCCCTCACCCAGTGCACATCTCACACGCACTGGGCATACTCTCAAAGCAACCTGGCCTTCAGCACAAAGAGGATGCTAACGTTTTCAAAAAGTGAGTTACAGATAGTATTTGCTGGTTATGATTTAATACACTTATAAATAAATGCTAAAAAGGCTAACAACCTGGATTAAGAAAGATTTCTAGCAATTGAGAGCAAAAGAACTGAGTGTGAACATGGTGTGTACATTCATGTGTCTCTGGGCATGTGCCCATGTGTGTGTACATGCATGTTCACGTCTAGCATGTGTATGGGCTCATGCCTGCCTGTGTATGCCTGTGCACATGTGTGCACACTCATGTGAGTGTGTGTGTGCACCAGCCATCTATGCCACCAACTGGCCATCCAGATGACGACCACATGGGCCACGACGGCAGCTGCCACAGGCTGTGGAGGGAGGGGTGCGTCAGTTAACAACAGGGATACTCACTGTTGGGCACTGTGGGTTCTTAAACGTGACCTTGAACTTGGCTTTCACCTGGCCTGGGATGATTGGAGTGAAGATGACAGGCACTCTGATGGAGCTGAAGGGGCCGATGTCGCCCTCTGTCAGCTGCAAAGGGAGAGACACCGGCAGCCAGTCAGGTTTCATGGTTTTTTATCAGGGCTTGTCCCGCAACGACGGAAGGCAGCAGGACCCGTGTCCCTAGGGTGGCCACCTGGCCACTGGGGCCCACGACTGGCCCTGCCCTGGGAGGACACATGGTCGTGGATCCCAGCTGAGCAGGACGCGGAGGCAGCCTGAGCCTCTCCCTGAATCTTTTCTGGCTTGTGTGTAAATGCTGACACACTGGGGAGGGCCCCATCAATCTTATCTCCACGCTGTTGCCCGTGACCTGCACCTGAGGACCGGCCCTCTGGCTCTGGCCTTGCCCGATGGAGCTTGGGGTGTGGCTAGCTCCATGCTAGCTGAGATCAGAAGGGGGCTGTGAGTCCTGAGGGGGACACAGCCCAGCCTGGATCTGGGTGGCTGGAAGGGCCTCAGGGTGGGGCCCGCGGGTGGGGAATGTCGGGCTGTGTTGCGGCAGCCCAGGGATCTGAGCAGGGTGACTGGCTGACCTCTCCCAGGGTGATCTCTGCTTGTTCCTCACTGGGAAGCATCTCCAGGGTGTTTAATCTCTCTGGTTCTGGAAGAGAAGGGGCATTCAAATGTGAGGGTTGGCTGGGCAGGGTGGAGGCATTTCTGTCAGACTCCTACACCCACACCTGGCTCTGTCCTTTCTGAACACAGCAGAGCCAATCAGTGTGGCCTGCTAGGTGAGGGGTGGGGCTGCAGAAGGGTGGCCTTCTGGGTGGGGGCTGGGAGGCCTGCAGGAGGGTGGCCTGCTGGGGACACCAGAGCACAGAGCGGGTACAGCTGGTTCCCCATGGTGCTGGGAGAGGGTAGAAGCCCTCCCCCATGACCCACTATCATTGGGGTGGGGGTTTGAAGGGCAGGAGAGTGGAGGACAGTATTGACTGATTGAACTGGAGTCTTACTCTGTCACCCAGGCTCATGGCCACCGCAGCCTCGACCTGCTGGGCTCAGGTGATCCTTCCACCTCAGCCTTCCAAGTAGCTGGAATCACAGGCAC